TACTTCTATGTACTTGACCCATTCCAAAGCAGGATGAAGATCACTAATAAATCTGCATTCAAATACAGCTGTTTCTCCAACAGCAACTGTCAAGTTAGAAGGATAATTTTCTATCATAATAGGACGATGTGGTATTCTTTCTAAAATAAAATTTTTATGCTTATTAAAAAATTTTTGTTTTACACTGGAATTCTAATAAAAGTTAGGACTACAAATAACAGAATAACAAATAATATATTTTTAATACCACTTATTAAAAAAAAAAGTTGAAATAGAAGGATCTTTCAATGAATACATAACACCACCATATCTTTTACCATTTCCACTGTTTTTTTTTTTTTTTTTTTTTTTCATTCAAAATATGGAAATAAAATGAAATTAGCATTATATACCATATTCATGTATTTTCCCCTTAGTTTGGCACAAGGCTGTGAAACTTTTTAAGTATTCACAGCATTTTGCTCTTCCTCAAGGCATTCAGAAAAGAAACTTCCCTTAAATTTTTAAATAGATTCACCTGCAGAGTGTTTGTTTTTGTCTTACTAATTGATTTACGGGTGCACTTACAGAGGATGTCCTCAGGATATCGTGATATGTGACAGTGAGCATTTAGGGTATGTATTTAGTAAGTTAGTGATTTTGGTATGTCCTGATGATGCTGTAAGAGAATTTAAAAACCAAATAACAACTCATACTCTGTTGATGGGATCTATTTACGGCTTTGCCACATTCTGAAATCACACAAAATAATACATTCAAGAATAATAAAATTTTCAACTTTCCTTACACGTAGAAAAAATATCCAAACAATCACAGAATAAAAATAACTGAAAATATGTTTCATAAAAATAATAAAAAGGAAAACACTATTTCAAAACATAGACTCCGTTCTTTCATTATTGTCATGAAAATAAGCAAATCAAACACTTTCCTTTGCTCGATTGTCACATCTAAAAATTTTACTGATTTTGAAAGAGATGGGGTTAACTTTAAGATGATTTTGTGCTACACTGTTTGTTTCTTTTGCAGTGTATTTTATAAGATCAAATGTCAGAAAATGAATCATTCATCATATGTGTACACTTTCTCCTGTCAAATACTCTTTCTGTTTTGCCATTTGAAGTATACAAAATATTTCGTTAAATTATATATAAAATAATTCATCTCAATGCTAGCCAGACTCTAAGAGGAATGAATAAAACCTCTAAAATAATAGGTCATCTATTTCTCAAATTACCTCTAAAAAAATGCAAGTGGTCATATCAGCAAAGACAGTTAATAGCCACGTCCATTTAATTACATTATTCGCATCCTCACAATTCCCACGATTATTACATTATAAAATACAAATCTACCATAACAGAATGAAGATTAACAATTTCATGTCTTGATAAATTCCACTATATTAGACATAGGGATAGATCCAGATTTAGGGCAACAAAAATTACTAATTAAACATTCCATCTAAAAATTGACATGTATACTCAATTTAAATGTCAATTCATATATGACACACCTGATGGTAAGATAACATTTGCAGCTCTCCGATGCATACATAACAGCAGTTCTCAACCTTTTAACAAATGCGTACCATCTAAACAAAAGCTGAAAAACTTAAATACCATCACTATATTTTACAATGATTATTTTTCAGTTTCTCAATAGAAATATTAAATAAATATATTTTGCCATTTGCGCTATCTATTGGCTCTTTGTATTAAATATGCACAGATAAAAAAGTATTAGATTAAAAATTTGTTAACATTTTAATTATCAAAATTTAAGTTATAATACTCTAATTTTAAAATTTAGTGTGAAATTTGGGCCTGTTTAAGAGAGATCAACTCCTTTATGTCTTGCCTTATTTCATTTAGTTTTAACAGTAAATTTGGATCCACTTTTAATTTTATTCTATATTTACTTTTCAGACATAACATGGAAAAAAATCCTTGTCCACAGAAACAAGTTGTGCAAAAAGGCAATCAAAATTGAATAGCTTTATTTGAAATTCTTTTTTTAAGGTTTAGCCAAAAGTTGACAAGTGTGTTATTTTACAAATCTTCAGTTAGAGTTCGATCACAGGAAATTTCTATCAAGCGTTCTTTTTCTTCACAAGATAAAATTTCAGATACATTTGGACAAAATGGATTTCTAATCTAATTTTCTCCAATTTTCATTTTCATTTCCTCAGCAAAATATATGTTGAAATTATTTACCAATGAAAACCAGAGATTTTTTAATGTCGGATGCTAATTCTTCTTTTATTTTCAAATTATTTTCTGTTAGAAAACTTTCTAAAAGTGTTAAAAAGCTTAAAATATTATTATCCAATTCTCTGATTATAAGCTTGAGTTTTTTTAAGCTTGTATTTATTTTACTTCTAATGGTAAACAAATTAACACTTTATCCTTGTAATCCCAAATTTAATTTTCCCAAAATATATCGGCTAAATATACTAAAATGTGTCAACCATAATTCACTAAATGAACATTCTTGCAATTCAAATTTTGAATTACAGAGGAAAATTTGAATTTCTGATAAAAGTTCAGAAAGATGATTTAGACCTTTGTCTCTGGATAACCACCTCACTTGGAAATGTAACAAAAGCATTTCTTGTGCATTGCCCATCTCTTGGCATAAAATCATAAATAATCTTGAATTTAAAGCTAAGTTTTTAATAAAATTAAAAATTTTCACAGCTTGATTCAAAATTATTTCCAGGTTTTGGGGGATTGTTTTGGCTACTAAAGCTTTACAATGAATGGAGCAGTGAGTGAATTTAATTCAAGCATGACTTTCTTCCTTTATGAAATAACATTGGAATGTTTTCTTGCTAAAGCCCGAGGTAAATCAATGCTTAAGACAATGCACTTACTGCAAGGAATATCATTCTTAGACATAAAATTGTCAATTACTTTGAAAATTTCATTTGAAGTTGCTCTATCATGAAGAGATTCACAAAATAAATACTCTTCAATTTGTTTATCTTCTTCAAAACGAATGCAAACTAATTATTGAATAAAGTTCGTTATATCAGTACTTTCATCCAACTTCAATGCGAAATACTCGCTGTGTTTTGAATAAGTGTCTCTTATATACAATTTGCCATTTCATGACTTCGTCAGCATAATGTATTATTTGATAACAGAATATTATAAAGTTCATTAGCCATTTTTTTGTTAAATATGTTAAAACGATATCTTTAGCTGCTGCTAATATAAGATTTTCTCTAATAGTGTGAGCCTGCCCCGGCTTGGCAATTCTTGGGCTTACTAGGTAACAGCTTTCGAAGCTTTTTCACTTGAAGTAACAAAATCTTGCCTTACCAGTTTACTATTTCTGAACTCTGATAATTTCTTCTTAAAATATTCTTGAGATTTATCCTTTAAATTGGCATGCTTACATAGTCTTTTAAGAAACTATTGTTTCATACGTTGATTGGATAATAGTTCACAGCAAATAACACATTGAAGTTGAGGATCCATTTCATCTCCATTCCAAGTTTAAACCCAAATGATAAATAACTTTTCTTATATTTTCTATAAACAATTTTTTTTTTCAGTATTCTTAGTGCTAGTAGACTGTCCTGGATTCATGAGATTCCCACTTAGTCAATCCTAGTCATTTTTCTATTTTGAAAATATAGATTTGTTTTATTACTTTTTCACAAATATTTAAATGCACAATATATTAATAGTTCTTCAAAAACAAACGACAATATTCTCAAACTGTGTAGAAAAGTAAGGAATACAAGCAACAAGAAGGCAAAATACCTGCTGATAGAGACAGCAAATTGATGTAGAAAAATGATTCTAATGGAAAATAGCACTATGAGCCCAGAAATGATGGCGACATAAAGTGTAGACATGCTAATAAATTGATCAATTCTAAAAGAATTAATAAAGTACTATTATCTTTTATAGGAATTTATTTCCTATTAAATGCAACACCCATTTCTATTCATCAACATCTAACACTTTTTGAAACATCACTAATGACAAATTTTGTTATGTCTATGGCTAAAAGAATATTTGTGAAAATAAAAATGGATTATTTTGCTAAAATCTATAGGCGGCCATTGACCTTGTGTAAAGCTCAAAACTGCATAAATTTACAAGTGTTAGAGAAAAACTTAAGCAGGCTATTCGGGTATTTAATTTTTGAATTTGATAGTTAAAAATACTTGGTTACTTTATGTACCATGTATTTTTCACTTGTATACCACCAGTTGAGAATCATTGATATATAACATAGCTATCTCGAAAGGGTTAATAAAAATATTCGCATAAATTCTCACCGTAATTGTTTGTTTCAAAATGCATGCTCAACACAAATCAGATACCAGTTACATTTATTTTTTCCTAAGGCTCAACACCAGAATTTTATTTAGCAATGCCTTCTTTATTTAAATTTAATCCCAATGCTTGTACATGAAAGATAATTTGAAATGAGTCCATTCTTTTGAGATATTAATTGAACTGAGCCAACTGCAAACACATATTATATTTTATTATATTGCATATTTTATTAATTCTTTCACATCCTAGTCATTACATAACCATAGAACTGTTAAATGAAATTTTGAAACTTCATACTAACCAACAACTTCCACTGTAAAGTTGAAACTTATGCTTCCTTCTGTATTTGATACAACACAAGTGTATAACCCTTGATCAGCAATAGTTAAATGCTCCAGTTTTAGGGACCATTTCTGCATATGAACCTAAAATATTTATTAAAATTAATTTTATAATAAAGAATACAAACTATTATATAAGATTTTAAAATATGTAAATCAAAATTATAATTTAAATTAGGAATAGTCCCTTAAATCTTCCTTTTAATTTGTGTATTCCCCCTCTCTATTCTAAAAAATCACAATAACCTTTTATGGACTTAGTCATTTCTACGTTAATCCTACCATATGACTTTTACATAATGATGATGGCATAGTTAATTCAGATATAAATAAAAACCTTTCCATTAATGAGCCTCCATAATGCATAACTATGCATTTGCTTTACTTCGGCATAGATGGACTACTGCTCGCTGCTTCTCTTCTTACCACAAAGCTCTAAAAAATGTACATTTGAAATAGGTACAATCTGCTGACTAAATTGTGGCTGCAAATGTCAATAGTAATAAAAAGGAATATTTAATCTACCTCGGCTACCAGATTTGCTCTTCATTGCAGATAAACATCTCAACATGTATGCTACCAATATTTCATATACAGTCAAAAGTCATTAATTCGGACACCCATAATTCGGAATGATCTATAATCCGGACCTCAAAACTAAAAACTTTCTGCGCATGCGTTGACACATGCGCATAGGTGTTTACGCGTGCGCGTAAGACTTTTTACGACTGCGCATATGAGTGTGCGCAAGTGCAGAATACGTTTTCGCGTGTGCGTTTTATGTATAATGGACGTATAAGCTAAAATTATCTAATTATCTGTTTCAGTTAATGTTGATGATTGCGTTGTTCCTTAATTTTCGAATTGGATCCGGCTTATTATTTTTTGCAGACTGTAAGAGCAATTTTATAAAAGTAAGCTTAAACTTTCGATTATATCAAATAGAATTTCCGATATATATTTGTTAATATGTAAAGGATCTAAAGCGAAAGTACGTTTTGAAATCCAAAATCTGTTTATCAATTTCACGCAGTGCTCGGCGGGGGGAACGCCGCTCGGCGGCGTGTAATGAATTGGAAGTTGATCTCCGTCAGCATTATCCTTATCTTCAGCAGGGCAGATGTTTTTATTTTATTTGGCTTATAATTCCTTACCAAATTAGTATTTCATCTCGATGTCCTCCGTCTTTGATATGATTTAAAACAAGTTCCTCGTCATTATAATTCGCTTCCAATAGCGAAGAAAGTGACAGAGGTTAGTGAAAACGAAAAAATTTCGATTGATAAATTAGTTGGTGTTCTCGACACAGCAATTATAGGACTTGAACAGCGGAACTTTGTAACTGAACAAGAAATTATGTCTGTTTAATAGAATTAAAGAGAAAGTATTATCACATGAAACGAAGCAAAACTTAAACAACTTACATTGAAAGAAATGTTTAATAAAGTAAACAAATAAATATTCAAGCTTTTTTCTTTTTGCAAATTTTGATACCCTTTAGATCATAATTGTTCTTTATTTCATAAATTACGGTTTCATATTTTTAATTTTAGAATTTCTGCATGCCATCTTACAAGATTTAAACTGATGATCTATAATCCGGAGAAATCGATAATCCGGAATCGCCGAAGTCCCGACGAGTCCGGATTAACGACTTTTGACTGTACTGTTACGTATATATAACAAAAGTTGTGGAATTTAAATTAAGATTATATATATTGTTACGAATTTCATATTTAGTTAGATATTTTTAGTAGAATTATAATTAAAATTGTTTTATCTCCCCATGCAATGCAGTGTGTAACAGTGTGAGGTTGTAGAATGCATCCGATTTGATGGAGAGGACTCTGTCCTAAACTACAATCACCTTAGGATGGTCCTTACACAGCCCTAAACAGGCTGAACGATGTATTAGATCGGATCTGCAAGTCATCAACCTCTGAGTCTAAAGACATTCATTAAGACAGGTTACATCTTTACTATGGCCATACTACGTAGTGTATATAATGTAAATAGTATAAGACCATGGTCCTTTTCGTTTCTAAATTCGCAAAATTTGAGCACTCATTTATTGATTTAATATTAGATTTTTTAAGCTATGAATTGAATTATTGTTTACGTTGTTTGTTACTGTACTGTAATGTGTGTTATTGCATTGATGCTTTAGTTGTAAGTATGGTTTCCTGTCCAGGGACTGCACTGACCAGGACGTGGGGGCAGTGTTACGAATTTGGTATTTAGTTAGTTAGTTTGGCATCAGGAGTGGAGTTCAATGCCAATAACATAAGCGATGGAAGATCAGTTAAGGCAGTTGGTAGCAGCCTTTGTTGCATTTAAAGCAGAGATGAAAGCTGGTCAAGAATCAGTTAAAGAAAAATGAAGGCAGGCCAAGAAAAATGCAAGCTCATCAAGAATCAGTTAAAGACAAGTTGAAAGCTATTAAAGAAGAAATGATAGTAGGCCAAGAGGAAATGAAAAGAGAAATTACCTGCAAAATAGAAAATAAATTTGAAGCTATGGAAGGCAGAATAGATGTGGTTGAAAATAAAGTTGGACGAATTGAAGAAAAAGTTTCTTCTCTCAAAGAACAAAGAGAAAAGAGAGACTTTCTGTTGTAGAACAACAAATTGATGACAGGGTTTCTGCAGTCGCAAAAGAAGTTGATACCCTGAAGAAATTCATAGTGATGGCAGGGAGCACTACAGATGGCTTCAAATTTTAAACCCATGCCTGCCCGTCCCCCATATGATCCACATATGATGGGAAGACCTTCTGGCAAGTGTATAAAACACAATTTTCCATAGTGGCAGATGTGAATGGATGAGATTCACAAGCTAAGGCTTGTAACAAGAGCGAGTCAACATCTTGCCACTTCTCTGAGAGCAGACGCTAAGGATACCCTTCAGACTCTTCAAGAAAACCACAGGCAAGATTTCAAACTTTATCTGGAGTATTAGAGCTGTGCTTTGGTGAGAAATGTGTAAAAGATTACAGCAGGCTTCAAGTAAAATCCCGTCAAGAGAAACACTCCACAAACTTGCCACGGATGTTGAAAGGCTAACTCGTAGAAACTACTACCTACTCAGAGCTGTGCAAGTCCCCGATCCAGTACATCAATTGATGGCTTGTTTAGATGATTTATACAGACAAGTCAATGCTTTGATACAGAACAGAAATGAGAACAAACTGACACTTAAGTGTTGGAAATGTGGCACTGAAGGATACATATGACAGAATTCCAGAACACCTCAGAGCACGGAAAATAATACAGATAATTTTACCAGACAAGTCAGTGCCTTGACATGGAATATTAATGACAAGAAACCAACCCTAAAGTGCTGAAACTGTGGTGCTGAAGGCCACATACAAAGGAACTGCAGAACATCTCACAGCACAGAAAATAAGGCAGATGATTTAAACAGACAATTAAATGCCATTAGACAGAGAAGAAGAGACAAGAAAACAAAGTGCTGGAACTGCAGAGCTGAAGGCCACATACGAAGGAACTGCAGAACATTCCAGAGCACGGAAAAGACCATTTCCCAGTTACGACGCAGGAAACAAATTAATGATCATATTGCGGAGCAGAGTTTGAACAATAAAAAATCCCATTTTAAAGCACTCAAGATTTCTGCAGTGAATGGCAACAGTAATGGACTATTCATCAATGGGCATATCGATGGAGTTCCTAGCAATATGATCATTGACACAGGAGCTAATGTTACCAGAGTTCAGAACGAGTTAGCTCAACAATTTAAAGATAAACTCATTTGGAGGCCATTCTGTGCTACCCTCCAGACTGCATCTGGTGGTAAAATCAACATAGATGGGAAGTTAATCACTTGCGCTACGACTAAACTTCACTGTTGCGGTGCCGTGCGCTACAATATAACAAGCAGTAAAGTGTCTCGTTTATGCCACTCCGCGTTTGCGAGTGCAATCCAGAGCTGTAACTTGAGAAATAAACAATCTCGTTATTAGGCGACGTGTGCACCACGTTATTTTCATTTTTGCGCACGGTTTGAGACAAAAGCATCTCGACGTGCGGGGGCACGTTTTTTTAGTGCAAGTGGTTAAACGTGAAGTGCCACCTACTATCATACAGCATATGTGGCAGATATTACAGATAATTGCATACTCGAATTGGACTTTTTAAGGAAATACAATTTTTCCTTCGACTTCAAAAACAACACACTGCTTTCAGCATCAGCCATCATAACTATCCATCATCAGAAGGAATCCTCACCTGCAAACACCGAAATTTGTAAAATTCGTGCACTCATTTAATGATTTAGAAATTGATTAAGTTACTTATTGCAATTATTGTTTATGTTGTTTGTTACCGTATTGTAATGTGTATTATTGCATTGATGCTTTAGTTGTATGTATGGCTTCCTGTACAGGGACTGTACTGATCGAGACGTGCAGTCCTTGGGAAGAGAATAGTATTACAAATTTGGTATTTAGTTAGATACTTTTAGTAGAATTATACAGTCAAAAGTCGTTAATTTGGACACCCATAATCCGGACCTCAAAGCTAAAAACTTTCTGCGCATGTGCCGCGTTGACATATGCGCATAGGCGTTTACGCGTGCACATAAGACCTTTACCACTGCGCATATGTGTGTGCGCAAGCGTAGAATACGTTTTCGCGTGCGCATTTTATGTATAACGGATGGTATAAGCTAAAATTATCTAATTATCTATTTCAGTTAATGTTGATGATTGCGTTGTATCTTAATCTTCGAATTGGATGTGGCTTATTATTTTTTGCGGACTGTAAGAGCAATTTTATAAAAGTAAACTTGAACTTTCGATTATGTCAAATAAATTTCCGATGCTGGAGCTCCCAAAGGATCTACAAAACGAAAGTATGTTTTGATGTCCATCAAACAAAAAGTGGAATTGTTGCAAAAAATGGATAAAGACATGAAGAAGGTGACAGAGAGGTTAGTGAAAAAGAAAAAATTTCGAATGACAAGTTAGTCGGTATTCTCGGCACAGCAATTACGGGACTTGAACAGCGGAACTTTGTAACTGAACAAGAAATTATGTCTGTTTATAGAATTAAAGAGAAAGTATTATCACATAAAACGAAGCAACTTTAAACAACTCACATTGAAAGAAATGTTTAATAAAGTAAACAAATAAATATTAAGCTTTTTTTTGTAAATTTTGATACCCTTTAGATCATAATTTGTTTCTTTATTTTCATAAATTACGGTTTTCATATTTTAATTTTAGAATTTCTGCATGCCATCTTACAAGATTTGAACTGATGATCTATAATCCGGAATGGCCGAAGTCCCGACGAGTCCGGATTAACGACTTTTGACTGTAATTAAAATTGTTTTGTCTCTCCGTGCAATGCAGGGCATGACATATTTTAAGATAATATTGCTATATAGATATGCTGGAAAATTAAAAATAAAAGAGCACATGCATTTAACATTGAATAAAAGTTTATCTCTGCAACTGATATTTAATTTAAATAAAAGTAATTGGCATATTAGCTGTAACTGTAATTATACTCTTTGCTTTCCAGAAATTGCTAGAAATATCTCGCACAGCTGATTTGAAAAGCTATAAAATGCCAGAGAGAGACCATCTTAGCTCAGATGATTAGTTACTGTTATTGCGAGTTGTTGTTTAGTTAGCTGCCATTATTTATTTATTTATTTTCGAATTCGATGTGAGATCGGATTAGCTTTTCTTTGCGCTTTGGATAACGTTCTATTTAATGTTTTAGTAGTTTAAAATGTAGCTACTGACTATATCGTGTGTTATTGTACAAATATCTCGGAGGAAAATTCAAGCATTTTGTTATATTTCTTGTGATAAGAATAAATTTTATTAACTTTTTATCGGACTTGTGCATTCAATCTATTATGAACCTGTACGCACGCATCATTATTAAACACTATTATTATAAACATTATTTTTATATAAATAATAAATTATATTTTTTATAATTTATAAATATTTCATTAATTTAACTGTTCTTATTTCAATTATGAAATGTTGATGTTATGTTTTAATTTTGATATATGTATTTCCTGTTAGAAGGTTGTTACCCACCTATTATGATTTAATTATTATATATTATTTAGTTATAATGAATTTATAATAACTTACAGATATATCTTTTTATAACTATTCATGATAAAATGAATAATACAAATTTAATTCATTACAACATAATCAAAATAATCATTACTTAATAATGATTGTTACCTGATTCAATGATTCCTAATGATTATGATTTAATGATTAATTATATGCCCAAATCATGAAATAATAATTTAATTCGTTATAATTTACATGAAATAATTATAATATGATTTCTTACTTCATATATAATATATATGAAATTAAAATTTTAAGATCTGATAGATGGGGCAATGACTTATCCAACATTTAGAAAATTAAACTGTTTGCATTAATCCTCCCCTCCCCTCTTCCAAAAAAAAAAAAAGACGATGCTAATAAAGTAGTAAACACGGAGAAAACTAATTGAGAATTTTCTCTAACATTAGCAAATTTTTTCATAGTAAACATGGAGAAAACTAGTTGAGAATTTTCTCTAACATTAGCAAATTTTTTCATTTAATAAAATAATAAACTGTAATCACATGATTGCTTTTTTCAATAGGAACTCCATCTTTGAGCCAAATAATTTTGGGCGTAGGATTCCCGTCCGCTGCACATCTTAAGCTCACAGCATTACCAGCAGGTGTAGCAACAAGTTCATTCATTCTCTCAGGTTTGGTGAAGTAAGGAGCACTGGGAATATCTAAAAAAAAAAAATTCAAAATTTTAATTATGCACTTTAGTTTTAGAAATTATGAGCAATACTGAAATGATAAAATAAAAAGTTCACCTTGTTTAACTTCTCTTGCGAGGGGCATATCAGAATTTCCACCATATTCAACTACCAGAGATTCTGTAAAAAGTTGAAATAAATGCAGCATTTATATTTATATGCACTTCAGAGAGTATATAAACAAGTGGTACTTCGGTATACATTAATCCATTTCAGACTCTGGACTTGCCCCAAATGAAAATACAAATTCAGTGGGTCAAATATTTACCGTTCACAAATGCTTTTCTATTAAATAATTTCTCAGCATATTCTAATACCTCTGATCTCTGTTTGGTAATCGATTTCAAACCCCTCATAATTTAACCTAATTTAATAACATTTTTGTTTTCACAATTGCAGATACCAGTAAGCAATTGGTCTCGGATATGTGTTTCCTTTTCATCGCCATGGTGATATGAGCCTAACTATTTTCTTTGTTGCTTGACTCTTTTCATTAACTTTCTTGAAACACATTGGTAACAAGTTTAGAAAAAGTTACATCCACCCCCCAAAAAATTTGAAAATTCAGAGTTATAGACAGGGTTGCTTGCTGATTAAGAGCAACAGTCATTCAATGCTCACAGGTATTCGCAGTATTGTCTCGAATGAGGTTAACGAGGGCAGTCATGACACATCAAATTTGAGTCACATTACAAATAAATATTGTATAACCAAATAAAAAATTTCGTATTTTAGTGAGGACATATACCAAGGTACTGCAGTAGAGACAATGTATACCTAAAACTGCCTTGTATAGCAAGCAGTGTGATGTACACTTCTATTAGCCCAGTCTAAACGTGACTATAGTTTGACCGTATCATACACAATCTTAGCTGACATTCTGCCAAAACACATAGACTCATCCAAAAGGGGCATTATTACATGCTACAATGTGAAAGATCACATGAAAATCGTCTCTTGTCCAGAAAGAGAGAATCATATTCTCAAGGGAAAGAAAGTCTCCATCCTTCCACCCTATTTTGAGAATAATTCGATTCGAATGATGCATGCGTGTTTCCGCTCATTTTCGTGGTTGAGGTGGTCGAACTATAGCTGAATAACACAGAGTTATAACAATAAAATTTTACTTCAACACAAATTAAGTTTAAAAATGTTTTTCCTTTCTTAATTTTAACAATAAAAACTTTTCTGTAATCTTTTCTTTAACACATAGTCTGAATTTCTGGAGTCTGTATTAATGACTTTCTTTTACAGATATGTTAAATTGTAACTCTTTCCTAATGAACAAACTGTATTTCTCATCAATTTCAAAAAATGTATTCTTTAAAAGTTTAATTTCATTAGAATAAAAAATACAAATTCGAAACCATTTTAGACACAAAAAAAGTACCATTTATAGTGAAAACTTTAAATCAAAAAATATATAACAAAAATTAAACACACAAACACAATTTTGAATTTCAAAACTTAGAAAAAAACTTTCAGATGATGAAAAGAAGTTCCTTATTTAACCATGAAGTTCAGTGAAAAATAACTAAATAAATAAGCATTACATTTTGTACCTACTGAAATACCAGTGAAACCTCTCTAAAGTGACCACCTACACTTCCAAATTATTTTGGTATTCTATGGAGATGGTCACTTATGAAAGATCATGCTCAATATTGTCATTTATTCATGTTCTAAAAAGTGCCAGTCCCTTTGAGAGGCAATAGTTTGCTGTAGTATAACAAATTAAGGGATTTCAAATTAATAAATGCAGTTCTTAAACATATTTTTTCTACTTTTTAATGAGATTGATTTAAATAAAAATCATTTAAATCATCAGATGTGCAATTAGAAATGTAAAATATTTTTATGAAATTACACTAGCACCCTCAATAAAATCATTACATATTTTTTCATTTTTTAAATAGCTATTTTAAGGGGGCTTGCCACCCAGGCGGCATTCTTGAACTTTTGATCCCCATACATCCCTTTTACCACTGCTAGATGATTATTTCCTTCCCATCTTTCCAAAACTTAATAAATATACATTTATTTAAATTTTTCATATTCATAACTAAAACTAAATACTTAACAGACTGCAGCTAATAAACTAACTAAATATTTAGCAGCTGACCACATTCTCTCCTGTAAAATTATGGAATTTTCTCCAGTTGAGAACCTTGGCTATAGCTATAAAATAAAAAAATTACCTGGAAGAACAGTTATCCAAGTACTTTTGTTAGACGAGCTGCCTAGGTCATCAGAAACAACACATGCATACTTCCCAGCATCATCAAAGGTCACATTGTTCAAAATTAGTAGTTTGGGATTGGCTGCCTTTCCATTTTTCACCTGAAAGAAAAAAAAAATTAATTTCATACTTTTCAAATACAGTACAAAGTCCGTAATCCAGACTCGTCGAGACTTTGGCGATTTCGGATTAGGGGGTTTTTCCGGATTATAGATCATCAATTTAAATCTGGTAAGATGGCATGCAGAAATTATACAATTAAAAATATGAAACCGTAATTTATGAAATAAAGAGCAATTATGATTTAAAGGGTATCAAAATTCACAAAAAAAAGCTTAATATTTATTTGTTTACTTTATTAAACATTTCTTTCAATGTAAGTTGTTTAAGTTGCTTCATTTTTTTTAAGCTAATACTTTCTCTTTAATTCTATAAACAGACATAATTTCTTGTTCAGTTACAAAGTTCCACTGTTCAAGTCCTGTAATTTCTGTGTCGAGAATACCGACTAACTTGCCAATCGAAATTTTTTCGTTTTCAATAAGCTCTCTGTCACTTTCTTTAGTATCGGAAGTGTGAGGGTAAACGCTTTATGCGCATGCATAGCGGATGCACGCATTAAATGCGCATGCGTAAACGCATTATGCGCAAGTTTGTGGCTTTGAGGTCCGGATTATAGATCATTCCGGATAATGGACATCAGGATTATGGACTTTGTACTGTATAATTGATTGCATACATAGTATATGAAAGTATAAAAATAAACTGTTAACCCTCTGAGTGGCTCAGGCTTTTAGATCTGTCAAGCTTTGGGATTTGTATTTAAAGAGCACTTATTAGCTAAATTTGTATATTTACTTATTTTAGTCTCTATTTTCATAAACTTAAGATTTATTAAGATGACATTTATATTAGTAAAGAAAGCAAAATATCATATATTTGAAGCTAATATATACCAAGTGACAAAAAATTTCATGATTGGATAAAGCTGGTCATGGCACTCAGTGGGTTAAGGTAAAGTTCATAGACACATGAATATAAATTAAAATTATATAGAGCAACATTCTACTTAAAGTGCAAAATATTATTCTGGCAATTGCTGAGGTATTTAACATAATGTATGAAAAAAATAATACTCAGAGAATTTACTAACACACCAACAGCACATAACTGCATCCCAAATTAGATTGACTGATAATATGATGTTTAAATTATGCTTTAACCTATTGCATGTTCTTCATGATTAAGCAACTACTGTGCTTAGTTGCCAAAACAGACAAACTTGATCACCCACACTACATGTGCATATTTCAAATATGGCCAAAAATTTGTGTAGTGGCCATTGTTTACAAAAAAGTGCTCTGATGGTACTTTACTTAGAATATCTGCTACATTGTACTTGCTATTTACCAAGTGACAAAAAATTACATCTTATAATACTGTGTGATATAATGAATACAAATTTGTAATTAAGAAAATGTAATATAATGAATACAATTTTGTATTGATTATATTCAATACAATTAGTATAATTGACATTAATCTTTAAGATCACATCCATTTAATAACTGAATTACTGAGTTCCTTTAAAAAGGGGGATTAGATATTATCCTGTCGACAGAGAAACTGCCAACAAGCAGAATAATTTAGAAACAGATATATATGAAATTAGCATCACAACACACACATAACATCTGTGTTTTCATTTCATACAATCCTGACTGATTCTTGATAATCCACCTTTTGTTTTTATGAACAAGGATATAAATTAGCTATTTTTGTTGTAGTTTTCTTTGCATTTTGAGTAAAACGAGGACCACAGAATCACATTTTTGACTGCACTCCAATTCATCAACAGCTAGTCAAGAGAATTAACATCTGTTGAATGTGGAAAAGATCAGCTGGATATGGCCAACAAACAATAATAGACGAATAATTACCTATGGAAAATTTGTATTCATAGCATTCTAAACAGAGCTTCTTGTAAAATCGGAGGGCCTGACAAAATAAATAGAAGAAATCAATTAAATTCTAGAAAAATGAAATAGAAAATAGAAAAATGAAGCACGATAAATACTTCCACAACAACGGCTACTTGGTGGATTAAAGGCATTGGTAAATGTTTTATTGTTACAGACAGAAGTGTGGCTCAGAATTCTGTAAGATGACTATCAGGATCTGGCACAACTCTCACAGGATCTCTAACTTCCATGGTGTAATGGTAAGCAGCCTTTATGGTCAATAGTATAATACCTTTACATCCACTCAAAGAAGAAAGGAGGCATCATTAACATCTTCACCTTATCCAGAATTCGAACCCAACTCTGTCAAAACAGTAATCAGCCCATGTTTACCATGGCTTAAGGTTCCCATTTGTCTTCAGGAAAGTCCAATATTTTGATAAAAGCCTCAGTAAACCAAATTCATTCCAGATGCTCCCCTTTTTAAACATTCTTCTTTAGGGAAGAAGACTAACTAAGATTTTACTTTCTCTTAGTATAACAACATAATTCTGCCCAGAGTGCACCAGTATAATAATATTTTTACTATAAATAATTAGTTTACAGACTGACAAGGAAAAACATATTGAACTAAGTGCTCAGTATAACATATATGATAAATAAGTATAATGCTGTAATGAAGTCATTTGCAGTATCTCTACAAATCAGAAAAATATTAACCCTCTCGCTGCGTATTTTTTTTTATCATAGGTTCAAAAATTGTGTATTTTTTATTACATATTTCAAACAGGGTTGCCACTCAAACAGGAGAATGAAATTCCCTGACTTTTCCAGGTGTGTTTCAAGAAAATTCCAGTCTATCCGCGTAATGTACATTGGCTGTGCTAAGAGGTAAATTAATTATGGTATTGTAATGTGTAGCAAATTCACTTAATTATTCAACAAATCCCAGAGGACATTTATTCTTAATTATTCTTGGTATACTTTGTTTGATAATTTTGTTTAGTTTTCCACTTAAGAAACTTAATAAAATTTAAGATATATACATTGGATAACAAATGTATGTTTTATTTAATTATTACTCATGATCATCACCAGTTCAACATGAGGCTAATCCGGTCCTTATAAATCACAACGCAATGCTAAATAGTTAAGTTAGATTTTAGGTAAATTTAATTTGTGTGAGGTATGTTCTTAAAAGGCACCGTAACACTTGAAAACACAAATATAATTATAATAGTTGTGTTTTCTCCACTGAAGATTGAGATTAGATCTTCCCAATCTGGAATAAAATAAGGATTTTTTTTGCAGACATTCTGCAGCTAACGAAAGAAAGAAATCTATTTTAATAAATTGAGGTATTTTATATTTATTTCGCAGCATACATAAGGAAAAAATATGTGCATTAAATTTCGTGATGGTATGTCATACTGCTATAATTAATTCAGGATTATGCCAGAGAAATTTCCTGAAAATTGGGAATATTATTACTAATAATAAATAAATTTAGAGGGAAGAAGCAACATTAAATTATATGAATAACATACAAATAATTACTTAAAAATTGAATTAGATAATCAACGATATTTAGCGAATATTGTTATATTACATGGCTAGCCTAGATAACTGATACTATTTTTTATTTTACTGCAAAATGGCAAGGTATTTATTGAAAAAGAAAAAAAATGTTTAAAAGATTTTGCGGTAAATTCTAGTATATGGTAAGGCTTTGGCACGATTTTGAAAATTGTCGCCAAGACAAAATGACCCGTTTACTGAGCATCATGATGTCGCAAATCCCATTATTATTCTAACCAAAGAACTCTATGTAAAGAAGA